TGCTCCCACGACGGAAGTCTTCGTAGATATCAATCATGTACTCCGGATAGAGGCTGATGAGGGTGCCAATGTATCGCTCAGACATCATCTCAAGACTTAATGAGGTACGTAAAGAATTGAGGCGATTTACCCCATTTGGCTCCTTTAAAAGAAGCGCGCGAAGATGATGGTAGTCGTCTGAAGTGGGGTTCGGTGTAAAGTAAAAGGCAAACACAATAGCGGCATCCGTAAAGACGGTTTGTTCCACATTGAAGATCAGATCTTCGTGTAGTCGAGTGATGGAGTTTGGAGGACGATTAGGGAGCAGACACACCATGGAAACACGATCCTGCAGCTGCGTGCCAGTAGCCCCATCAATGTAAAGCGTGTAAATATGAACGCCATTCGAAAAGGTCTCGGAAAAACTGCGAAGTACCACCGCTCCTGGAATTTCGCGTATGATCGCCATGAGCGATGCCAGGTAGTAGTTACGATCGGCAGCAATAGCCATAGAGAAGCATGTTTCACCATCTTTCCCGTCAACTAACGTAAAGACGGGTCCAACAGAACCTTTAAAGCGGGTAAGAAGTTCCTGGTAACGATTTTGCAGCTCCGGTGAACGTTGCTCAAGAAATACATGACTTGCAAGTTGTTTAATATCCGTCTCCCCTAGCTTCGGCTGTGGGTTGACAAATGGCTGCCACTTGGCGGTGTAGACGGAGGTGGTGCCGTCATCGGTGGTGTACCCCCGCATGGAAATGCACTCATTCGCTTCTCTCACACGACTCACAAATCGTGAAAGGCGCCGAACAGCACGAAGTTGGCTCTCATGATCCTTTAGGCAGATATAAAAGGCACAGTCATCGCTTTCATGGACGTACTCAAAGGGGTCTCCCATCGTACTCTTTGCCTTGGCGCAGAGAAATCCCTTGACATGATTCGTCACCTCATCCTCCGTGTAACAAAGGCCGTAGGAACTGTCACTGAGACCACCTGTGAAAAGCTGCACCGCCTTCCGTATGGAAGCCTCATCAAACATGCCGCCTTCTTTCACGGTATTGATGATACATGAAGCATTAATGTCACTTGCCATAAAACGAAAGCTATTCATACCACTTCGGCAAAATGCCGCACGGCCCACAAGCCCCATAATAACCACACGCCGCATCATAATTTATTTCGTAATGTTGCAACCAACAGATCTTCTTTTTTTTTTTTTTATTATTTTTTCTCTCTCTTTCTTTAAATAATAACAATAAATAATTCACCCCTTCTCCTACTTTTTCGTTCTTCCTCTTCCTCCACAATAACCACAACAAAAAAAGGGAACAACACCCAAAGTGCATGTATACATCCATTACAAATAACAAACCATAATAATAATAAAAAAAAAAAAAAAAGAGGGAACAAACATGAGACGGGAGAAATCCCTGCACCAGTCACGCACACAAATACACACGGAATTAAGCAAACAAAAATGGTGTCTTTCCCCCCCCCCCCCCTCCTCCCCACGCCCCTTCAAACGCTTACCATGAAACATCGCATGCAAATACCAAAAACAACAACAACAACAACAACAACAACAACAAACCCCCAATCACAAGGGGAGAAGAAATGTTTAGTTTCCCGTTGCCTACATATATATATATATATATATATATATATATATATTACAATGAACCGCAACAAAGCACGGTTTTAAATAATTTTTTTTTTTTTTTTTTTGACTCCTATTTCTTCGCTTCACTCCTTTTGTTTTATCTTATATATTTTCCTTTTTCTTTTTTTCTTAAAAACTTTTCTCTCGCTTTCTCTAAAAAAAAAAAGAAAAAAGAAAACAACAACAACAACAACAACAAATCATACTTGTCGCGTTAAAATAAGTCCCATCGCAGCCTCAAGACAATCTCTTGCGGGGGATGTATGAAGCGCATGAAGTGCTTCAACGCCACGACGACAGTGTTCGCCTGCATGTTCAAGAGCCTCAGCAACACACCCGTGACGCTCCACCGCCTCCATGCACATCTCCGTGTCACCTGGATTTTTAAAACGACGCCGTACTGCTTCGTAGACCCGCGTTTCCTCTCGTGCAGCAAGAAGAACTGGAAGTGTTGCAATGCCTTCTGCCATGTCTGCCATCTTTGGTTTCCCCAAATTTTTATCATCCCCAGTGATGTCCAAGCAGTCATCGACAATTTGAAATGCAATGCCCAAATGCTTTCCAAATTTCGCCGCTGCCTCTTCATAGGCGGTGTTTGGCAAACCCGCAAGTACCGCAGTAGATGCCAGGGAGTTGGCAATAAGAGATGCTGTCTTACAATAACTCTTCTGTTCATAACTCTCAATGTCAAAGCAGCCGTCCATTTGCATCATTTCTCCAGCAGCAAGGTCCTCCAGTGCGGTACTCATGAGCAGTACAACGCGGGAGTGGCCCAACGCGGCTATCCAAATGGAGGCACGCGCGAGAAGGAAGTCACCTGCCAGTACCGCACGTTTTGTGTCATACAAGCAGTGGACTGTGGGTTGTCCACGACGTGTGTTACTGTTATCCATGACGTCATCGTGGACAAGTGTAGCGGTATGGAGAAGCTCCGTGATTTCTCCAAGTCGCAGGAAGGGACGAATGGCACCGGAAGAAATGTCATCAATTGAGCCGATGCTTTCCGCACGAATTTGTTCACTCACATGCGGCGGCAGTAACGCATGTGCCATCATCGCCACCAGCGTTGGACGCAACATTTTCCCACTCACTGAAAAAACATATTTGGCAATGTGATTGAGAACCGCGTTATTGCTGTTGCTGACAAGCCCAGCCATGTTTTGCTGCATCATCCTCACCTCACGTGCCACCATGGCAAACGGCCGTCCATCCTCCGTCAGCAGGTTGCTGGGAACGGTACTGGTGATGGTGGTCGTAGCCGCAGCACGCCGACAAAGGCCTGTTTTCAGCATGAGGATTGAAGCAGTTCCTTAGCAGGCAATAACTATACAGAAATATATCTATAAACGTAGTAGCAATGACAAAAAAACAGTGGACACACACACACACACACACACGCACGCACAAAAAAAAGCAACAAATATATGTGCAAAGAAAAACAGAAATAATGATAATGAACTCTGCAATGGCACTGTACCAAACTATTCCCTTCCTTGTATCTTCACTACCGCCACTACTGTGGGATTAAATGTGATGAAACGTACATACGCATGGAGAAGAAGAAGGAATGAAGCGACATTAATGACATTCTCCACCACACACACACACACACAAACACACGGAGCTCACTACAATTCCACTGAATACATAAATACATAAAAAAAAAAAAAAATAGGAGAAGAAAGGAAAGGGACACTTGTTGTGTATCGTTTTTTACCCTCCGTGACGACAGTGCTTCATAAATTCTCTTCCATTCATCCCTCCTTCTTCTCCCTGAAATACCCCAAGGAGACACATACACATACACAATGTGTGTTGTGAGTCCTTCACAGGCGACGTCTCTTCTTCATGAGTTGATCCAAACCCAAGCCATCACCACCACCATCATCATCGTCATCCGTGGATTCATCATCATTTCGCAGTCGAATCCCATCTTTTATACCCCCCTCTTGTTCTTCCATTCGGGCCAATGCCTCCATCTCACGACGGATACCCTCATTACTGATGACGGCAGAACCAAAAACACCTTTCCGTATTCCACGAGCAGGGCGCGTACCGTCTTCTTCGTCGTCCGCATACAATGAGGGAGGTTTTTGTTCCAGAGAGGAGCCTTCCTGTTTCGCACCCAGATACGATGACGATGATGGCGTTGCATAGTCGGTGACAGTCACACCATGGCCACCAGCCGCCGCTTCGTCAACTGTTTTCAAGAGATCTTTATCGGCCTCCAGCGCCTCTACAGTTATCCCCAGTCGGGCAGCGGCTTTCGCCAATCGACGCTGTCGTACCTCCTGCTGCCTCTCCCTCTCTCGCAGCTCGCGTTCCAAGCGAATGCGATCCAACCGTTCCTCCCGACTTTCCTTTCGTCTCTCTGTTGATGTTTGCATCATGCTCGATGCGGCTTTTTCTAGCAATTCTCTGGCGCGCTGCGTTGCCTCCGCTTCTCGCTCTGCCTGCCGACGTTCCTCTTCTTCTTGACGGGCTTTCTCACGTGCGGCCTGCTCCGCCTCCACCTCCTTCCGTGCCTGCTGCACCGCCACGGCAAGATTCATGACCTGCTCGCTGATCCCACCACCACTACCCGCCTGCGTGTCTGCTTGCTGCGCAAGGCGTTGCTCCAGTGGGATAATTAATTTGCGCTTGTTTTTCCAGTTCCCGATGCTAAACGGCACGGCAGCCACATTGGCAGAGGAGGAAGAAGAGGACCCTTCGCCAGAATTACCTCCATCCTTCTTTGCACGTGTCGGTGACCGCACAATGGACGCCGGATCATACACACCGGTGACACCAACGTCCCCCGGGAGTACAATTTCCAGCCCCGGCTTCGTTTTCGGCGCCCGCCGAATATTCCGCCCGCTGAAATCTTCCTTTTGCGCCTGCCGGCCACGAAGAACCTCCTCCAATGCCTCCTTCGTCTTCTCCGTTGTCTCCGCCAGTGCATCCGCATCGCTGTCTTGCACCACACTCCCTTTTGCGCTGAGAGTGCTGACGCCGCCGGCCGACAAATCCGACGACGCCACAATGAGGGCCTCGGTGTTGGGCACGGCAGCAAATAAAGGACGCGAGGAGATGCCGTGCGTTGGTCCAGCAATCGCATCGGTTGCACGCACATCCCTTCTGCCAGCAATCTTCTCCATGACTACCGGCGGCAGGGGCTTTCGTCCCATACCGAGAGGGTACTGCGCAAAGAAACACTCCGCAAAGGCACCGCCATCTTCACTGAAGTTCGACATTCCCCTTAAACAACAACAACAACAACAACAAAAAGACAACACACACAGACAGAAAAGGCAGTCACTTTTACCTTTATACTTCTTTCTTCGTTCAGCAACGAGAACTGTAAAAGATAGCGGTGGAAAAGGGGGGGGGGAGGGGAGAGAGAAAAAAAAAGCAAACGGAAAAATACACAGGAGAAAGTATGGGAAGCATCGTACATCGGCTGCACACAAAAACAAATGCGACAAATTACCCACGCGCAAAACGCCAAATCCCCCTCCGTCCTGTTTACGACATTTGGACAAACGCACGCACACACACAAAAAAAGTGCCTCCAAGAAACAAAAAACAACAACAAACAAACAATAAATTTAATACAACAAAACGCCCCTACCAAAAAAAAAAAAAGAAGAAAAAAAAACCACTCTGGGCACCCCCTTCTCCCCACCACCACGGATAAAAAACGTTCCTAAAGTAAACCTTCTCCACCAAAAACATAAAAACGTGACCGTTTACTTCAATTTTGTTCTCTAAATTCGATTTTGCCCTAACAACCTTCCCCCACCCCCTGAACAAAATAAAGTAAACAACAACAAAACGCTCATGTTCATTCATTTAATACTGTCGACAGTGCTCCTTACAAATCAAAACAAAAACAAAAACAAAAACAAAAACAAAGAAAAAAACGTAGCAAAATAAAAGTAACAAAAACAACAACAACAAAAAAAACCAGTGTCACAATGGAGACTGTGAACCGCCACGCTACGCGACAGCACCAAAGTACTCCTTGGACTTTTCGGGATCCGGCTTCATCGTCTTGTCACCGGGCTTCCAGTTGGCGGGGCACACCTCGCCATGCTTCTCCACGAACTGGAACGCCTTCACAAGGCGAAGGGCCTCGTCCACGTCGCGGCCAACGGGGAGGTCGTTGACGGTGATCTGCCGCAGGTTCTGCTTCGGGTCGATGATGAAAAGGCCACGGTACGCCACGCCATCCTCCTCCTTCAGCACACCATACGACTTCATGATGCACTTGGTCTTGTCGGCAAGAATGGGGATGTTCATCTGGCCAAGTCCGCCACGCTTGCGCTCAATGCTTGTCCAGGCCAGATGGGAGTACTCGCTGTCCATGGAGCAGGCAAGCACCTCGCAGCCAATGTCAGAGAACTCCTTCACACGGTCCGAGAATTGGCAGATCTCTGTGGGGCAGACGAAGGTGAAGTCCATCGGGTAGAAGAAGAGCACCAGCCACTTGCCCTTGTAGGAGGTGAGAGCCACCTTCTTGAAGGTGCCGTTGGGCATCAGCGCCGTCTCATTGAAGTCGGGCGCCGGGTGGTTGAGCTTTGCGTCTCCGCAGGACATTGTCTTGGAAAAATAA